GGAAAAAGTCGAAATTCTTACCCTAATTCGCAATTTTCTCCATCAGAACTCAACTTTCACGCAATAAAAATATCATATTCGAAATCAGGGTCGAAAGTCGAGTCGAATGATGTCCTTTTTTTATCTTATTTGACCGTAGTTTTGTGAGTTCTGATGGAGAAAATTGCGAATTAGGGTAAGAATTTCGACTTTTCCCAGTAAAGTAGACTTTTCTCAGCGAAGAAAAGGATTTTCAGGGCAAGGAGACCGTAGTTTTGTGGAGGAGCTCTCAGAGAATCTAGCCGTGTAAAAATATTTGCACCAAGACCTCTACAAAAACATGTGTTAGGTCCGCAAATTTTGCAGGACGCTTCGGTCATGCACCGGTTTCGAGTTCCCGGAAAAATTCGTTTCTAGTTTTGTCACTCTGAAACTTAGTTTTCTAGATTCAGTTTTTGATTCTGAATCTGAAAATCTTAGTCTCAGGTTTCAGAACCAAAACGTTTAGCGAAATTAGAGCCACTTTACTGAAAGAGTACTTTTTTTTGAGTTTTGCGCATGTCCTCAGTATTTTGAGGATATCTCAGCGAGGAAAGGGTTTATCGAGGCCCGATTCCGATAGCCCTGATCGCCGTTAGATTCTCTATCGAATGGTGTGTAGAAAATACAAAACAAAATTTCACTGAAAGTCTGCTTCATGTGCACCTTAAAATAAGTAATAGTACACATAACGGTTAAATTTAGTTGTTGGTTCTTGTATAATTTGTCAGTTCAAACTCTACTATTTCAACTTGCATAGTCACTCCATTCATAAATATTAAATGAATTTGGTTGAAAATCTCCTTAGTTCGGGAGATTTTGTAATCAAAAACGTAATCAGCATTAATTAGAACAAAAAATAGTCTCTGTTTTACTAGAAAACAGACAGCATGATTAAGAATTGCTATAACGTTAGTTTCATTTTAAACACACATGGTTCATCTCAATGTGTTGTCCCATCAATATTTAATAATTCGTTTTATTTGCATTTTTATTAAATTGATCTGACTTCCATTCAGCTGTACAACTTATCAAAACACAGGGCTTCAAAAACAATAACTAAAAATTTGAAATATGAAAGAAAAATAAACTTACCTTTCTGTAATCAATACATTTTGTTCATCAAAAAACTGTTAGATCACATTTGACTGAAATGGTTTCAGCACGACTATAAGCAAGACCTGGAACATGAAATAAATTTGATATTATATAAAATTTTTATCAAAGTCTCGTTTATCAACTGAAATAGTATTTTATCATTCTTTATTTCCAAGCACGAACTAGGCTTCTTTGATGTTGTTACAAGAAGTGTTGCATTGTTACACGGAGTATTGCAAAAGAAGAAGTAGATTTAAATCACGAGACATACACCGGATCGAAAAAAACTAATAAAATATCACACATAAGCAAAAACAATTTAGGGCACGTTTTCTACGTTCATAGAATCTTGAATCAATAAAGATGGTTTTTGTTGATTTAGAATGTCAGAGTTCATGTTAGCAATCATAGTAGTTGCCTAAAATGTGACGAAACAAATATTACAAAAGAAAAATTAATAATACTTTTTTTTATTAATTTACTGGAATAGAAGAATGCATTTGTCGATTATCGATTAAAATTGGTTGTTGAGGATGTAATGTTAGACTGTTAGTATTTACTATTGAAGATGGACGAGGAAGAAACGTATTTGGGTTAACAATTTGAATATAATTTACAGGTATAAGACCAGATGAGATACGATCTACTGTAGCTAACAACCAATTCGATGTTGGTGATTGAAATGCTACGAGCAAAAGTATATTGAAAGAAATGTTGAACGTTAGATATATTACATATCTATAGTAAATCTGATACAACTTACCAGATGGTGCTAAAGATAAAAATGTTCCTTGCTTAAATGATAATTCATCAGTATTCCGAGCAGTATAATCGTATAATGCTACCACCCGTAAAAGATTTTTCTCTTTTTGCATCCATTCGTCACTGCCTAAAATATCAGATCAATATTTATTACGTATGAAACAATAATTTCTCTGTTTCTACCTTGTCGTTTTCTAATCATTGAATTTAGAAAATGTAGCATTAACATTGGGGTACCAAATGTAACAATAAAAAATAATGCTACTAGTACACCCGAAGATGACGTCGGTGGTGATCTGTTGGTTTGATGTACATTGTTTAATGAATCATATATTTTTGACCAGGATTCATTCATATCAACAGAGGAAGATGCTGATGAAAAGTTTAATCTAAATAATTTTAATATTCGATTGAAAAGAAATTTAATGAAACGCCATAGAATAATTAATGGATAAATTGTTGTCAGCTGAGAGCGCAAACGAGTAAAATGATCGAATACATCTGTAACAGCGCGAAATGAACTATAAACACTTGTAAATGTTGATTCTAACATTAAACTAATTGAACGAAATGTCTGAACAACACTTTCTATGGATTGAAACGCATTACGCGAGTCTTCAACAGCTAATTGGGCAAAATTACTTGTAGGTAATGACCTTGTGGGACCAAAATAGGAACACGCTCCACCATAATAGGGGCTAGTAAAATAACCCCCCAGTTGTGGTGCATAACCATATCCACCGCCGAATATTTCATTAGATATTTGAACGTTTTGTGGATGAACACGAGTAGGAATAGGTGGTGCAACTCGATGCATATTTTGTTCAAAGATCGATCTGAAGCAAAGCAACAATACTTTAGTTGTACGACTATTATAACGAATTTGACGAACGAAATACATACTGTGATAAGTTTGGCTCGACCGTTGGATAACCATCATTTAGAGATCCAAATGAAGTGGAAATACATTGACTCACCATTGGTATAGGTGTTTCGCAAGGCTTATTTTGAGTCATTTTTCGTTTGATCTGCAACAAGTATTGAATTTTTCTTTGTATTTTTCGTTTTTTGAACTTCTATTTATTTGATTTGGTAAATGTTGATATAGTGAATAATGAAATAGCAAAACTATAAGGTTTTCCTTCTTATTCTTCATGTTTTTCTGTTGATAGTAAAACGCAGGATGGTGATAGCGGAATGAATGACTTGGAAGCTTTTGTATTCTTTCATTCCACTATCACCTCTTGCTTTCCAATTTTAATTAAATAGTCGGATGATTATTGTTGTAACTGTATTTTATTTCTATTCATAAATATTGATTTCTGCACTTTATTTAAATCTTTGTGAGAACTAACATTATTATTTATTGTTAGATATATTGATAATTGATGATATATGATTGGACTTTAACTGGATAGAAGAAAAGTTTTACAGTAAAATTCAGTCATTCTTGTATTCGAAAAGATCGCATGAATTAGTTTGTTGCGTTGTTTACCGCTCTACATTATACTCTAGTTTTTCTATTTGTAATTCCTTTTTGTTGTTGCTCGGATTGAATCATTGCTATTAGAGACCAGGGACTTTTATCTTTGTCCAAATATTTTATCATGAAAGATATGTAAAATTAGATTCTCGTGATTTAGATTACTAGAGACTGATCCGGTCAAACTTTATCTCAATGTTCTATAGACACTAGCTTAAAACGATGGCAGTACGCTCTTTTATTATAAGTTCTTGAAAATTCAAAAGCTTGGAAACTTTAATTGAAAAACTTATTTCTTATATTATTATAAAAGCAAACAAACGCGTAAGTAAAAAGAAAATATGCGTAGATCTGCCATTCGATACTCCATTTTTATAGAGCTGCTCCTACAATAACAATATCTTTCTCTTGTTTTAATTCGGTTTATGCTTGTCTGTCATCGTATTTCATCTTCTTGTATTTAAATTTTCTCTGCAAACGTTGTGATTTCCACGTAGTTTTTTAATAATTGTTGGCATTCGTAATGTCGAAGATCCTGTGTTGACGATAATATCATTCATATTCAATCATTTAGATATTAGTGCAAATCTTAATCCTTGCGTCAAAAATTCTAATTGATTTTGTGATAAGTTGACATTGGATTTGCCGATAAGTGGAACGGAGGAATACAAAAGCTTCCAAGTCATTCATTTCGCTACCACCGTCTTGAGTTTCACTAGCAACAGAAAAACATGAAGAATGAGAAGGAAAATCTTATAGTTTTGCTATTTCAACAGAAGTTCAAAAAAGGAAGTAAACAACAGAAAATTTTAATCCATCATGAAATTCCTAAAAAACCATGAGATCTGCAATGAGTAATAGACAGGTCAATATTTTCTACTGATGAAAGAGGGAAAGGACGCATTTACAATTCTGTTATTACATTATATCAGAGTTTGTTTTTTCCTAACGCATACTCTATGCTATACTAGCCTGTTTGCCACTGTTGCCATGTTTTCGTTGTTTCCCTTTTGTTAGCTCTAAATAGTAGCTTCAAGGAGAGACTGTCTACGTCCATTTGCATTGATCCTGGCTCTAGGAGCTACTATTTGGAGCTAAAAGGAAACAGCGCCATGCTTCGAGAATACGAATAATGATTCAGTCCTGCATGGAATGGCTTAAGAGAAGATCCAATCGAACCTTATTCTAGTGACTTACGCTGTAATTATTGGTTGTAGTCTATCTATTTATGCATTTCGTACAATTCTTGGATCTTTGTTCTCGTTTTGATTAGATCGTAACAAGTAGCTTCCAGTAAAAGTTGTATAACATAAAATACAATATCTCCTTTATGATTTTGCTCAGTCACAGTAAAACATGAATAATCACCATGACAGAACAATCTCTTCCTTGCAACACAGAAGGTATACATGCCGTCACCGTTGGTATATTCGACAGTAACTTCTCTCTTATATATAAGAAAAAGATTGATTTGTTAAAGAATACGTGAATAATTCAAAAGACGAAGGCAGAGGGATGCTCGTTGGCAGCAGCTGAGAGGTGAAAAATGACTCATCTTTGAGAGTAAACATTTCTGGAAGTTGCAAAAAATATTTGTTCAAGCAGAAAAATGAAAATAGATTTACTCATTGGAGTATATAAATAGAGTGTGTATGCCAGTGGAAATGAGAGAGGTTGTATGATAAGACGCTTCGTTTGGCTCGAAAGTACGATCAGAGGTATGTTTTTTATAAAATCTTTTAAACTTTGAGCATTGATTTTAATTCTGATTCGTGTCTTTACTTAAGGTTTACTCTTTTTTTGTGTCCCCTTCTCAGTTCAAGTTTCTGGATCAGAGGGTTCCAGAGAGGGAGCATTTCTATTAAATTCCTTCCAGTGTAATATAGATCTGCGAACTACTACTTTCTGACTGCACGCAGAAAATTTGAAAAAGACGCGTACATCCCGATGTTTAGGAGACGGTCGTCTCGACCTGACGGCCATTTTCTCTGAAACAAAATGTTGCAAATGGATGTTTTAAATATCATATGAAAGGACAACTCGAGTATCGTAATGGTATGAGTGGACTACTGTTCAAGAAAAGACTACTTTTTCTTTTGTCTATGATTAAGTTGAAATATAAAGAATCTTATCTCAGACGAAACTGAGGTTGAAAGAATGCTTGTTCGAATAGCGAGCGAATCTGCTCGACCGCTATCACAGTACTCGAGAGACACTTGACCAGACCTACATCCACCACTGATTTCTATCGAAGTCGATTTGATCGGTCTCATTCCTTACTTTAAGACCCGTAACGCTATTGAATTTGATGTATATTTTTTTAGAGTGCTGGATGTAGTTTAGCCGTTATTTCGAGATATTAGTAATAAAAGACTAAGGGAAAAACTTTCATAATTTTTAATAAATTAGTATTTATTACATATCATAACGTAGCAGAGCTAAAAGGTGAATTAACAGAATCTTTCATAATTTCCCCCTAGAACGTTCCAATTGTTCTACCTATTCTCTAGAAAATGAGAAATCTGTAGAATATTCCCAGGAAATCTTAGTGACGAAAGTGTACAGGACTCTTTAGCAAACTTTTTTTCTATGCTCTAAAGGAAATCTATGTCAAGAAGAACGGAAGGCTTTTTGATTTGGTTTCGGCGGGTCTTAACTAAATGAACTGAAGTTTATCCCTAGTATTTGCTTTCTTGCTAAACAACAAAGAGACAGCTTTCACGTAAAGAATTTTGGTCTACAAAGATGAGAATGCGGGTAAATAAAAATAATCTCATACAAAACGTCTTCACACTGTTATGACTACAAAAATAATTTTTCATTTAAAATTAATTTTTTATTTTTCTGTTTCAGAATCGTACAATACAATTTGCGATCACTTGTCCTAGCGACAGCCAATGTCAGATTAATCATAAAAACAACATCTAAATTTCCATCCATAGCAATTATTCGCAATCTCTAGCGCAACAAAAGCTATGCAGGTAGGTGCTCAAGTGTTCACAACAAAAAATACTAAAGTCAAAACTTTCTCAACATCATCAACAACAATGAATAGTATTACTCCACCTAATAGTCTATTAGCATTACCCTCAAATAGTTATAATGGCAGAAGCACTTTATAGTAAATCGTTTTTTATGTGAATTTTTTTTATATATCAACATATGTTTCTATCTCTTATTGTATGTAGCGGGAGCTTTGTTTTTGTTAAATATTGTTCGAATTTTATATGAAAAATATAAACCTCTTCTATTTTTTTTTGTGTTGTCTAGTCATTTTCATGCTGTTATATCTCAATGATCTTTTGCTTGTCGTTCTAGATTAAATATATATAGATTTCTAGTATATTTCCGTCCATTAAATATTATTTACTATCGTTGTCAAAACAATTGAAAACATGGCAAAACCAGTTGATCCAACAAAGGAAGATCGATATGCTACAGCTATTCTGAGTAAGTAAACATTTGTTTACAAAAAAAGAGTAAAACCAATGATGATAGTACAGTATATTCCAATGAGTCTTGTTTTTGTTCTCTAGAATCTGTCTTACAGTTAGCTAAGTAGAATAGCATCAGATTTCAACATTCTGTCTGAAATACTTTGTCATTTTGAAATCTAGTACTTTTTATTGTTTCTTTACTGTAAGACTCATTTGTTTTTTAGATACAAAACAACGTCCAAATCGTTTATTAGTTGATGATGCCGTTAACGATGATAACAGTGTTGTTGCGTTGTCACAACAAAAAATGGACGAATTACAATTATTTCGTGGTGATACAGTTCTATTAAAAGGCAAAAGACGAAAAGAAACAATTTGTATTGTATTGGGTGATGACACATGTCCAAATGAACGTATTCGAATGAATCGTATTATTAGAAATAATTTAAGAGTTAGACTAGGTGACATTGTTCAAATTCAAGCATGTCAAGATGTGAAATATGGAAAAAAAATACAGGTTTTACCCATTGATGACACTGTGCAAGGTAAAAAATAACAACATGCAATTATTGTGATATGAAAATTCTTTTTTCATTTGTATTATGCAACTACAGGAATGCACAGCCTAGAATAAATGAGTCACTTTATGTTCTACTTTTATATCGGTTCGCTTCACTTCATTTAAAATGTTTCGTAATGAGGACGGAAAATTGTTACTTTTACCGAATTCTAATATCTTAAATCTGAGAGCAGTATATTAACGAAACATAAAATGTGTTGTTTATTCTGAACCATCTATTATTGTTTCTTTTATTCTAGGTATCACAGGAAATTTATTTGAAGTTTATTTAAAACCATATTTTGTTGAAGCTTATCGTCCTGTGCGTAAAAATGATGTATTTGTTGTACGTGCAGCAATGCGTGCTGTTGAATTTAAAGTTATTGAAACGGATCCAGCTCCATATTGTATTGTTGCACCTGATACTGCCATCCATTGTGAAGGTGATCCAATTAAACGTGAAGTAAGTAAAAATAAAATAATAGAAAGTAATCACTAAACTCTTATGTTCTTTCTTTTTATTCTTTTAAGGAAGAAGAAGCATCATTAAATGAAATTGGTTATGATGATATTGGTGGAGTTCGAAAACAATTAGCACAAATCAAAGAAATGGTTGAATTACCATTGCGACATCCACAACTATTTAAAACAATCGGTGTCAAACCACCCAGAGGCATTCTACTATATGGCCCACCCGGAACAGGTGAGCATGAAAACAAGAAACAGAAAGTGAAAGTCTTAAACACTCATATTATAGGATCTAACTATTATTATTTATCTTCTCATTGATAGGCAAAACATTGATAGCACGTGCTGTTGCGAATGAAACTGGCGCTTTTTTCTTTTTAATCAATGGTCCTGAAATCATGTCAAAATTAGCCGGTGAATCTGAATCAAATTTACGAAAGGCATTTGAAGAAGCTGAAAAAAATTCGCCAGCTATTATATTCATTGATGAATTAGATTCTATTGCACCGAAACGCGAAAAAACACATGGTGAAGTTGAACGACGTATTGTCTCACAGTTATTAACATTGATGGATGGTTTGAAACAACGTGCTCATGTTATTGTAATGGCTGCCACGAATCGTCCAAATTCAATTGATCCTGCTCTTAGACGATACGGTCGTTTCGATCGTGAAGTTGATATCGGCATACCGGATGCTGTTGGACGTTTAGAAATATTACGTATTCATACAAAAAATATGAAATTATCGGATGATGTTGAGTTAGTTCAGATAGGAAATGAAACACATGGTTATGTTGGTGCCGATTTAGCATCATTATGTTCAGAAGCGGCTCTACAACAAATTCGAGAAAAAATGGATGTTATCGATTTAGAAGAAGATACAATTGATGCCGCAGTTCTCGACTCATTAGCTGTTACACAAGAGAATTTCCGTTTTGCATTAGGTCAATCAAATCCAAGTGCATTAAGAGAAACAGTTGTCGAAGTACCGACAGTTACATGGGAAGATATTGGTGGATTGGATGGTGTCAAACGAGAATTACAAGAATTAGTACAATATCCCGTCGAACATCCAGAAAAATTTTTAAAATTTGGCATGACACCATCGAGAGGAGTGTTGTTTTATGGGCCACCTGGTTGTGGTGAGTAGAAGACTTTCTACGAGTAAAGAACTGCTCGCCTCATGTTCTCCTAAATAGTTTATTCTTTTCTCTTTAAATATTTGTCCTTTTTTTTGGATTCTGTTATGATCTGTTGGTGTTTCAGGTAAAACGTTATTAGCAAAAGCTATTGCCAATGAATGTCAAGCCAATTTCATATCCATCAAAGGGCCCGAGTTGTTGACAATGTGGTTTGGCGAATCCGAAGCAAATGTTCGTGATGTATTTGATAAAGCTCGTCAGGCAGCACCATGTGTATTGTTCTTCGATGAGTTAGATTCAATTGCTAAATCACGTGGAGGAAGTGCTGGTGATGGAGGTGGAGCAGCTGATCGTGTTATAAATCAAATCTTAACTGAAATGGATGGAATGGGAGCGAAGAAAAATGTCTTTATTATTGGAGCAACAAATCGTCCAGATATTATTGATTCAGCGATACTACGTCCAGGTACGATATCTTCTGAGAAAATACACGGCTTTGCATAACTGAACTACGTTCCACAAAAAATTTTGATAGATTGACAGCAAAATTGTTAAATTTAGTAGATTCTTCACTTTAAATAATTGAGATACTTTGACAGAAATCAATGCGTTTCTGTAAGCTTGTTTGAAATGTGAAATAGTTGCAGATGACATTCATTTTGAAATTTAGATTACTAAAAATTTCGATCTAACTAGCTTGTCTTCTTCGTGTGCTCTAGGTCGTCTTGATCAACTTATTTATATTCCGTTACCAGATGAAAAATCTCGTAAAGCTATATTCAGATCAGCATTACGTAAATCTCCCGTCTCAAAAGACGTTGATGTTGATTATATGGCTACCGAATTAAAGGGATTTAGTGGCGCTGATATAACTGAAATTTGTCAACGTGCATGCAAATTAGCCATACGTGAATCAATTGAAAAAGAAATAAATCGTGAAAAAGAACGTCAGCGAAATCGAGCAACAGCAATGGATGATGAATTTGATCCCGTGCCAGAAATTCGACGTGATCATTTCGAAGAAGCAATGAAATTTGCACGACGTAGTGTTTCAGATAACGATATTCGTAAATATGAAATGTTCGCACAAACATTACAACAATCAAGAGGTTTCGGTTCATCGTTTCGTTTTCCAGAACAACAACAGCCAAACCAATCACAAGGTAGTGGACATGGTACGGGGCACGATGCGGACGATTTATACGATTAACATAGAGAAATAAAAACTATTGAACAGTTTTTTAGTCTAACTATTCGAGAACTTTCGTTTTTTCGTTTTCGTCCTGTTCTCAGATCTGTTGAGACTTTTCGAACTTTGGAGAAAAGTCAAAAAAATTGTTTTCTAGAACAAAACTGTCGTCACATGAGTTGCTCCAGAGTTGGAAACTATTTAATTCTTTATTACTTTGTAGAGAAAATAACTTTCTTCGGTTATTCGAACCCCTAAAACTCCTTAACAGCTACGACAGGCATACTCTGTTTTCTTTTATCTAAAAGTTGTAGTTTATTCTTTGTTTTCTTTTTCTTTTATTTTCAATTATCACTCAGTGTCTCTTGTGGGTTGTGTGCGTCTCTTGAAGGAACTCATTGACTACTTTCTTATGTACAAAAAATACATATTTTTGTATTTAATTTATCAAAGTTATACCTGAAATTTGTCTTGCTTTTTTGTTTTTATTTATGAAACATGAATTTCTAACTACATTAAAAATAGATCATCATTAATAAAAACAACAAAATGAAATGAAAGAAAAAGTATGTCAATTTGAGAACTAACTTACCTGGTTTTGTTTAAGAGGAGAATAGATATACATTAGGTTTTGAATTGGGCCGTTGAGACATACTATAGGGTGTAAAATCATAGAATATATTTCTTAGCAAGTGCTCATTCTCTAACAAGAAACGTTTGTTTTATTTTGTGAATTTCCTCGCTCGAAATGCATGATACACTCGAGTAGTTCAATTAATCTTAGTTTTAAAATCCTTGTATTTACTTGATTTTTTATCTCTTAATAAAAATGCTTGTTTGAACACTTCATATACAGGAATTTTATTAGAATTGAACGAACAGCGGGAAAGTGCTTGATTCCTTGGTAAGTAGTTGGAAAAATTTGCCAATTATTTTCGAAATTATTTGTCATGTACTTCGAGATTGCGACATGAAAATAATTCCAGCCAATAGTAATAATAATAATCAAAAAAGCAATAATAATGATAATCAAAATCGTCATTTTTCTAGTCGTCAAAATTAAATCATGAACAAGAATAACAATTACTCGCTTTTTCTGACACTACTGAAGTGTTCTTAATTCATATACAATCTCTTGCGCTGATACCCATCCGTACTCTATCTTCTCTTCCTCCTCCAAAACTTGCACATCCTGTTTCTATCCATAACAGACGTTTTCGTAAACATAAACATCGTTATACTTCTTCGAACCTTGTCGAGTTTCGTACGGCAAATAACCTTGTTTTTTTTTGCTTTATCGTCACGAAAATTTTTTAAGGTCATAGTGGTAAGAAGTAAAAGAAATAAATCCAGAGCTGGTCCGTGACACTTAGGATTGGGGTGGCGAAATTTTTTAACAACTTTTTCTAAAAATTGAATGCTTTCCACAAAAAAATCATCACCTTCAGTCAATGACTGAGAGAAGGTTTGCATGTCGGACCTCCCCTCGCTCGGATCACCTCTGAATAAATCAACAATATATGGCATATTGAAGATGTAATAGAGGAAAGAGGTTGCACATCTATATCAAAAGCAACAGCTAAATAAGGAGAAAAAGAAATATTACTCGGAGACGAAGGATAAAGAATATAGTCAGTACACGTGTTAGATAGTAGTTACAGGGAAATCAACAAGAGAACACAGAAAACTATCAAACGGACTTTGAACTTTAAACATTTCAGCAAGTACAAGAAAATTAATGTTAAGATCACCACACAAAACTAGGTTAGGGAATGTTACGTTTATTAAAGAGTAAAAATTTTAAAACTATAGAGAATGAAAATTGTATTTTCGAAACGTCGAATTTTAATAAAAAATTAAATAATGGAATTAAAAACAGCTGCTCTCTACAGGTTAGGGAAGAAAGAAGGGGGAGAAAGAAGATAGTTTACAAACAAAATTTTTAAGAATATCAGGAAAGAAATCTACAGGAACAGATTGAGAACAATAGCAATTATATCCGAGAAAATTGACACAAAGAGATTGTATGTGAGTTAAGAACACTTCAATAATGTCAGGAAAAGCGAGTAATTGTTATTCTTGTTCATGATTTAATTTTGACGACTAGAAAAATGATGATTTTGATTATCATTATTATTGTTTTTCTGATTATTATTATTACTATTGGCTGGAATTATTTTCATGTTGCGATCCCGGAGAAGTACATGACAAGAGTTTTAAAACTAAGATCAATTGAACTACTCGAGCGTATCATGCATTTCGAGGGAGTGAGTTTTTTCTTCTTTCTCAGTTAGCATCTTGTTTTTTATCTGTTTATTTGTTTAGTAGGAGGTCATTGCGTTACAGGTCGGCGACCTTTGCCCAGGGGAAAGACGTCTTACAAGATCTTATAAGATCTGACGACTTCTTATGCAATCTTGCTGCAAGATCTTTTGACAAGAACTTGTAAGATCTTATCCCAAGATCATGTATGGTCTTGCGGAATCTTGTAACTTCTTGTTGTAAGATCTTACAAGATCAGCTTATAAGAAATCTTAAGATCTTGTAACAAGAAGTTATATGATCTTGCAAGATCTTGTCAGTTCTTATCACAAGATCATACGATTTCTTGTTACAAGATCTTATAAGATCTTACAAGAAGCGATGAGACTCATTCTTACCACATAAATTTTGCAACGATATATAGTATATATAAAACATAGTTCTTATGATGAAACTTAGAATTTTTTCTTTCTCCAACTGCACACATCAGCTGAGCACAAATAAAGTGCATGGCTATAAGAAACGTAGTTAGACTTACTAAGGACGTCAGGGTTCTTCCTATGCTCGAAAATATTATGAAAAGAAAAAAGCTGTTTTTTAAAGAGGGTCTGTAGGGAAGCTATAGTACAGAATCAGAGACATAATTTTATATGATCTTATGAAAACTTTCAAGGTCTTGTCACATCTTGCACGATCTTATCGCCAGATCTTGCAAGGTCATACAAGATCCTGCTGTAAGAAAAATCTTGTGAAATCTTATAAGATTCTTGTGAAATCTTATAAGATTCTTGTGAAATCTTGTGGTATCTTATAATATGATCTTACAAGATCTTGTATGAACGTACAAGATCATATTTCAAGATTCTTCGCCCTGGGTGGTGATCTCTCTATGTGAATAACTTCATTCATGCACATTATTTTAGTGGCATAATTCTCAGATAAACATCTGTTGTGTACCCAAGTGAGCAAAAAAACCTGGTTGACCGGCGTTCGGACTAGTCCAGACTAGTACGGGTAATTTGGAATTGTTTTTTCAAAGTGTCAGGACTACAAGTCTTGACGTACGATCGGATGCTGAACCAGAGGAGTAAACAGGACGGGGCGTCCAAAAGTCGAGCATGACGTGTTACCCGTCGGTAGACCAGTGCAGAAATTTCTCCATACGTCCGGACGTATAGTTTTGACACTAGTCAAGACGTACTATAGGATACCAAAAGGATTTACTAAAGTATCCGTAAGAGATATCCTACAGAACCCAATTAGTTTTGTGTTAATGGTAAAATACTATAAGGTTACCAACCGTTTTATAGCGGAAAGTTGAACGGCATTTTACAGTACCAAAAAGGTTTTTTTCTCTAGAATAAAAAACCATATCTGGTATTTTCAAATACTAAATAGAATTATTTCTTTTTTTCGTTCGTATTTTGCTAAATCGTTTGGATTTCGTACTGTACGAAAGTGGTATTTTTATTAATTTTTTTCGGAAACCTTGGGTTTTAAGAGCATATTTTTCGAAATTATCGGGTATTTCAGAGGAAATGAACCTCTGAGTATTTCGACTATAACTTTTTTTCTTTGAAGATACAAAGTTATTTCTTCTTTTAAAGGTTCGCCGTTTTATTCTCTACAAAAAATATATTAAACAATTTTTTACATACGCTAAAAGTAAGGAATATAGATGAAATACTGTGAAATTTGAATGTTCATTACTTTCCAACCCAAAAGACGGCTGTTAAGTTTCAGCCTTTTATATTTTATGAAACTTAAAACGAGAAGATGGCGATTTTGTAGCTGTTGAAAAGCTCTATCAACTGACCATATTTAAAATTCCCATAATCACAAGTGATCGAGGAAGAATGCCTTTTCTTTTTATCGATTTCGCTAAAAATGATCATTTTCTTTTTATTATGATCATTTGTTTTTTGTAGAGAATAAA